GCGCTCCCGTCCCTCCGCGACCCAGATTGGAATGGCTGCTTTTGATCCCATTTGTTACTAACCCGGCATTTGTTTTCCATTTTATAAACGCTTCCCTTTAAGTAATTGTCCCTGTTAACAGCACACACCTTTCAGCAGCCCTCGCTGCGCTATAAATAATCTCGATGAAGATGCAAGGATATGACTTTCACAAGATTGGACAATTGATTCAATCTGTGACCCGCGATCGCGAATAATATTGGAAGGCTATTTAAACAGATGAAGGCCTAAATTGTCTTGCTTGTATCTGAATTAATTTCTCATTCATCATCATTATGAAGTGATTGGTCTATTCAAGCTCTTCAGCCTGCTGGAACGGAGGGGGATTTAAATGAGATTGTAACACAATTTAAATGCTTGCCGACTTTAACGAGGCCAATTGAGCAGCTGCAATAAATACAAATATTTTTCTAAACAGCCTTGTTTTAAATAATTACTTAATGCTTTCATGTTATTTTTAAGTGGCAATCTTTCTCTCCTGCTCCTGCTCAGAATATCACATACTTATTTGCTGAGAAGGCAATTTTGGAAACGAGTTTGTGTTTCTGTTTGCTTTGTAGACAGCAACATGCGTTTTGTGGTTGGCTTTTTTCTCCTCAGGGTCAACATTTCTGGGTCCCACAAGCTAGCACAAATGGTGAACTGGGCCCTGGCTTTGCCCTAATGCAGTCTGATGTGCCTGCTTCTGCAGAGCGAGGGAGTTCCTGAGTGATGGAAGAAATTTGCCGTTTGGACCAAGTCACTGATCCAGACATGTTTTAACTGGGTCTTGCAAACGAATCCGTGTGATTACACTTACAAATGACACTCAGAGGAGTGGCATCGTTTCTGACTTGTCCTGATGACTGTCATCATCTTGAACAAATCAGAATTCCGGCGTACTCCAAAGGCGTCCCTTAGGAAGTTCAATCTGCCTGCAGTTTGGCTCCCGTGCTAGTCGACTGCAGCGGTTGAAGGCTGGCTGAGGATTTCTTTGTTAGGGAACAGGCACAGAAAGAGAATGTGGCCATCACAATTGGTTGTGGATAGAATAATTAGAAAAAAATTCCAATTTCTTTTCCCCTCAACCTCCTTTCCCTTCCTACTCCTGGCTCTCTCACTCTGGGGTGATCTGCATGGAGAAGCTAAGAAGGAATGGCTCTTCTCACTTGCAGAATGCCATCCTTCTAGCCGTCCTCGACAACTGTCCACTGTGCTTTTGGGCGGGCATATGGCAGCAGGGGTTTCCCCGACTGAGGGATAATGGAAGCACCCGAGCGAGCAAGCGAGAGAAGCCTGGGGAACAAAAGAATCTTTTAAATTCTCACTGAAGGTCTGGGGGTGGGGATGGGGAGACACGCGACTTGCTGCGGGGACCTCTGTTCCCATTTGTGGTGACCTTCTAGGGCCATGTCCCCCTGGGAGGCCTAGGGTGAAAGGGTGCATTCTGAATCACTTTCTCTCTGCCTGGGATGGGGACGGGGGGACTGGATGTCTGGGGTGTGAGGCTGCAGGGTTCTCGTCTGGGAAGGCAGAGCTGATATAGTCACTAGAGAAACCATGCATGGGGCAGACCACATTGGGGGATTCGATCAAACTTTAGGCCAGGAAAAAAATGGGGACAAGGGTGGAGGAACCAAGTGATTTGCTATGTAACTGGACAATTTAATGCCAGAGTTAGAGCACTGCTGGCCGGAATCATTTCGTCTTTGGAGGCTCTGCCGAGCTCATCCTCTTTATCCTGTTGTTTAAAATGAGCATTATCCCAAACATATGCAATGCAATCAGTTTGGTCACACTTACAAGAACACGCTTTAATAAGGCAATCAATCACTCCCTAACAAGCCGGCGACGGCCCGCGATGAATGCGCACACCAACTGCAGGGCGGCTGGTTTTGCGGGGCCGGGTGGACCACGGCCCAGCACTGGTCTGTGCTCCCAGGCTCCACCAGGTCCAGCCTGGGTGCAGGAGCCCAGGGAAAGTGTGAATTGGGAGTGGGGTGTCTGACTTCTCCAGGGGTGACCATGGCCTCTGGGACCCAAAGAAGCAGGGCAATGGAGGGGAGAAACGGAGCCTGGATCTCATAGCTGCATGGGCTCCTAACAGCTGTGTGAGACCCAGAGCCTCCGTTTTCCCCACCTGCAAAATGGGACTGAGATGGGCAAAGCTAAGTAGAGGCGCTCAGAACGTTGAAGAACGAAAATGATAATACCACGTCAGCCCCGTTGCTCCGTCTAGCCTTCTCATTTCACAGATGAAGAGATTGAGGCTGTTGAGGGACAGTGCCCTCCTCATGGTCATCCCCCCTCCCACCACCAACACCAAAACGGAGGTATCAAGGCCACTTGGGGCTGCTGGGTGCAGGCGGGCAAACCTGTTTTTAGGTGAAAGGATGGGGGAGGGAGTGTGAGAATTGGTGCCTAGCGCCAAACCGCAAACCTTGGCAAAAGGGAAATTTCATTATGAAGTAATGAGTAATTCCTCCTGGCAAGATGTATTGTTATATCTTCCACTTCAATTTGGAGGAAGAGAGGCTCAATTACCCAGAAAATACAGTCAATTAAAGGCTGCTGATTGGACACGAGGCCGGATCATCGATCTTGTACTTTCCAATATCGCTGCAGACACCTCATTTTCCCTCCCTATTAACTGAAAATACGCCTGGCATTATGGCAACCCGCAGCCCATTTACCTGTCGCAAGCAATCTTGGCCCGACGGGGAAGTAACCGCAAAATTTGCCAGGGGTTTGGCACTGGGAGTGTCCAAGCTGCCGAGGGAGCTGAGGGAGCCGCACAGAGCTGGGGGCAGGGGAGTAGTGGGAAGGATGCTGGAAACCTCAGCACACGGTTTTGCTTGAAAGGGCAGAGGTCGCTGTGTGCAAGAGGGTTTGCTCTGGACCTCAAAGAAGGATGGAGGCCAACTGAGGAGTCCACACACCAGCCCACGGATACACAGGCAGAGGACGCTTGAAATCTGCAATTCTGAGCTCCCAGCCTGCTGAGGTCCCACCCACCTCTCCCCTCTTTGAGCAAGATTCCAGAGGCTGCCTCGGTGGCTCTCCTATGGGGATGAGGATGGGGATGAGGCAGCTGCTGAGCACAGTCTGTCCTCTTGCCCGGACCAGACCAGAATTCCACCCTTGGAGATTACTTCCAGTTGGAGGATGATTCAGACCCTCCCATCCCAACCCAACCCAACCCCTCTTTCCTTTCCCTAAACCCTAATTTGCAGACCCAGCTTGACCAGCAAACCCAGCTCTCTGCAGTGCTCAAGCTGCACCCCCACTGCCCCCACATTGGGTTGGGAGAGAGATAGGATCCACAGAGACCGTAGTCTAGGTCACTTTTCTTCAAAGGGTTGGAGTAACTAGA